GCTAAGTATTTTTACTAGATCGTTTTCGTTGCTTGGTGGTGTTTGTCTCGTTGGGGCTTTTTTAGCCGATTGTTGTTGCGGTTTCGACGTCGGTCTTCCCGCCTCTCTGGGCTTGTTCCAAGCTGAAGTTCTCTGCTTCGGGAACATCTTGCAGCCTCTGTAGCTTGCCGGATGCGCCTCCATTCAGTTCGCGCATTTGGCCGGCGTGTCCATTATTTTTTTACTCTCTAGTGTCGTGGTTTTCTCCACACTTGACGCAGCATGCCGTCGAGTGGCAGCATCTCTGCGAGTGGCCGAAGAACTGGCCTCGATGGCATTGGGATACCAGTCCCTTGTTGATTCTCTGGGGTTCTGCCCGTACTATCAAATTTACGCATGTTCTTAGCGTAAAAATCCTCTCTTCACTTTTTGGTACTTTCACCAAAAACAGTGGCAGTACCTTCCTATATTTTCTAGAGGTCATTCTGTGACACTCTATCACCGTGTAGCCCTGTTTTGCCAAATCGTTGGCGACGTCTGCGGGTTCTACGTTTTCCGGTATTCCGCGGATGACCGCGTGCAGTGGGATTTCTTTCTTCATTGTGTAAGTATGGAAGTCCAGTTTCTCGGCTTCCAGGTATTTGGTGGCTTTTCGCCACTCGACTTCGTTGTTTGTGTATAGGTATATGCCATCCCTCATGAGTTTGGCTTTATTATACCCTATCTTTCTAGACTCTAGGGTTTTGGAGATCGCGCTCCACTTTTTGGAGTCGTGGATGACTATTGGTGGGGGCTTTTCTACTTCCATTGGCGGTCCGCTTGTCATTTTTGGGGTTGGTTCCCCTTCTTCTGGGTTTTGTTCCTCTGTGTTATTTGTCTGAGGTGTGTTTTTCGCGTCCATGTTTTCCACGGCCTGTTTATCTGCTACTTGTTTCGCTATTTTCGCGGCTTTTTCCTGGGCCTGTCGCTTCATAGTTTTTTCATTGGGTCTCGCCTTTTCAACGAGTAAAAACCCGTCGTCCTCCGAGTCTGAATTTGATGCGCAATCCGGGCCTCGTGGCCTCTTGGTTTGGCGCGTTTCCTCTTTGTTTTCGACTTCTATTTCCCTTTCATTGGGTTGTTCTTGTTCGTTCTCTTGTCGTGTGTCGGCCTCTTCTGGTTTCTCCTCCCCTTTTGTTTTTTGGGTTCTTGATGGTACCGTGTCCGTCCTCTTTCTTTGGAATAGCATTCCCTCTACCTGGTTCAGCCTTTCGTTGAGCTGTTTTATCATATTTGTCAGCTCTTCTCTTTGCTGTCTGAGCCTGTAATTTTCCCTTTCTAGGCACTCTAGCTTTTGTTCCATCTCCATATTCTGGGCCTAAAAACCTAAAATAAATGCCTAAAAGAGAATACGAATTCTTTTTTATGTGTGCTTTCGCACACTCAGTTCTGAAAAGAACTAATTGTCTAAGTGCTTTGTTAAACTCGGCACTTTACTAATATTTTGGTATATCTCTCTGGATAAAATTCTTATCTCCGCACTTCAGGTAACACTAAGCTTTCACCTCAATGTCTCTCGTGTGTGTCTCAATCGCAATATGCCTCTCAAGATTTTAATTCAACAACCACTCTTATACCTGACCCTATAACAATACCTAGCCCACCTATTTTACTGTGGAAGCGGAAGGAAATGAGGATAATGCTGATGATGACAATGACGATTTAGATATTCAATATCAAGATTGGCTGGGTGATGAATTGTCTAATTTCAATGACGACGATAATGCAGATTAGAGGCACTACTAGGAAATGTTGAGAGATTAATATTTTTATGCTTTGTATTATATTTTATGATTAGTTTCCAAAAAGTAATTTTAAAAAAATGCTGTTTAAAAATCTGTTTAAAATCTGTTTTTCCGTTAACCAGCTGTCGCACCCCTACGAACGACAACCCTCAGAAGTCGAAACTTGTGCGAGCTAAGGATTAACGAGGTCTTACCTTTTAACGTGTGATTCCTAACACGGGNACTTTTAGTCAACGCTTGAGGTATTTACCTCTCGGACAAATAGTTCCACTCACTTGATACACAGGCTTGCCTTCCAGAGGCTTCCAAATTTTGTCGTATATAGCAGGAGGTACGTTGACAATTTTCCGAAAACTCAAGCCATAATCAGTATTCAACGATCCAGAGTAAACAAACAATTCCATATCGGGATACGATGGATCTGGTTCAGATGAAATATTAGTTCTAATATAGGTTAGTGTTTCAAATCCATCTGGAAAATTATTGTTTAGATTATCTTCAAATGAATAAAATATTTTGTATATTTTTGTCACAAACATTAAGGCCCATTTTTATGTCACGGAATAATTGAATAACTTGAATTTAAATGAAATGAAACAATAAAAATGCTTTTCACAACATGCATACATTTTTTAATCATCAGTTATGAAATATCATGATGAATCAAATTTCTCTAATGGAGACACTTGTCTCGTACACTATTGCCACAATCATAACTTGAAGAACGAGAAAAAAAGATCTTTAGTTTTGATTGTGGAAAAAGTGTTTTTTTGGACGGGTAGAGAAAATTTTGAATTATTCGAATCCAAAGAAAGTGTTTTTGTACAATTGCGTTCATTTTTTCAACCGTGTAGAATTACAATTCAATGAGACACATTTCTACATTATATTTCTTTGTAGAATTAAATTTCGAACATTTCAATCCTTATTCGTATTGAAATCCTTATAGTCCAAGATCCCAGGGCCACCAGACGTCACTTATTTTCTGACGAAGAAAATGTGGACGATTGAGTACTGTTAGTATGTATTAAGAACGCATGCCTACACGCTAGCTTGCTCAGACGGCCAATTTTCGGGTATCAGGTAATCAAGGTACATAAATACATTACTTACTTCACATGAATTCTCCAAGCTAATTTTTACTTATATTTTGGGCAATATCCTTTTATAATAACTCGCCAATACTCCCAGACACTTTCCGCCGGCCGTATTGATTTGTAGATGCTTCAAAGTTCCCAAAATAATTACTTAACTTCACGTGAATTCTGATGCTCTATTTTTATATATGTTCACCAGATAACTATTTTAAAACCTTTTACAGGAAGACATACTGATCTAAGTGGCCAATCATTTCCTAAATTCAATTTCAATGCCTCTGTAGGTAGGAGGAGTGATTATAATATTCCTATCGAACCAACAAATTAGTAACTATACTAACCCAGATATGCCTATAGGATTATTTGAAATTTTCAAGAAGTAATTTTGAAGAAATTGAAGCTCATTAGCGACAAAAAAGAGATTAAATTTTAATTTTATAAAAAAATACAAAATCAAGACCGTACTACATATAGTAGTACATTAGGTAGATGTACTGCTACGAAAAAAAAATTATTTTGTATGAAATATTACGTTGCATTTGACGTGTACTCCAATGTCACATTTCAAACATCTTGTTGTTGTTTTCTCATGACAGTATCCACATCGGGTCTCTTTTGCCTGTGGAATCACAAGATAGTCTAACCGGTCGTAACGCAAATCAATACCTTGTGTTCTACTCGAATGTCCTTTTTGGTATGTAGCTTGCTGTGAAATAACAAGATGGTCTAACCGGTCGTAACGCAAATAAATAGCTTGTGTTCTACTCGAATGTCCTTTTTGGTATGTAACTTGCTGTGGAATAACAAGATGGTCTAACCGGTCGTAACGCAAATCAATAGCTTGTGTTCTACTCGAATGTCCTTTTTGGTATGTAACTTGCTGTGGAATAACAAGATGGTCTAACCGGTCGTAACGCAAATCAATAGCTTGTGTTCTACTCGAATGTCCTTTTTGGTATGTAACTTGCTGTGGAATAACAAGATGGTCTAACCGGTCGTAACGCAAATCAATAGCTTGTGTTCTACTCGAATGTCCTTTTTGGTATGTAACTTGCTGTGGAATAACAAGATGGTCTAACCGGTCGTAACGCAAATCAATAGCTTGTGTTCTACTCGAATGTCCTTTTTGGTATGTAACTTGCTGTGGAATAACAAGATGGTCTAACCGGTCGTAACGCAAATCAATAGCTTGTGTTCTACTCGAATGTCCTTTTTGGTATGTAACTTGCTGTGGAATAACAAGATGGTCTAACCGGTCGTAACGCAAATCAATAGCTTGTGTTCTACTCGAATGTCCTTTTTGGTATGTAACTTGCTGTGGAATAACAAGATGGTCTAACCGGTCGTAACGCAAATCAATAGCTTGTGTTCTACTCGAATGTCCTTTTTGGTATGTAACTTGCTGTGGAATAACAAGATGGTCTAACCGGTCGTAACGCAAATCAATAGCTTGTGTTCTACTCGAATGTCCTTTTTGGTATGTAACTTGCTGTGGAATAACAAGATGGTCTAACCGGTCGTAACGCAAATCAATAGCTTGTGTTCTACTCGAATGTCCTTTTTGGTATGTAACTTGCTGTGGAATAACAAGATGGTCTAACCGGTCGTAACGCAAATCAATAGCTTGTGTTCTACTCGAATGTCCTTTTTGGTATGTAACTTGCTGTGGAATAACAAGATGGTCTAACCGGTCGTAACGCAAATCAATAGCTTGTGTTCTACTCGAATGTCCTTTTTGGTATGTAACTTGCTGTGGAATAACAAGATGGTCTAACCGGTCGTAACGCAAATCAATAGCTTGTGTTCTACTCGAATGTCCTTTTTGGTATGTAACTTGCTGTGGAATAACAAGATGGTCTAACCGGTCGTAACGCAAATCAATAGCTTGTGTTCTACTCGAATGTCCTTTTTGGTATGTAACTTGCTGTGGAATAACAAGATGGTCTAACCGGTCGTAACGCAAATCAATAGCTTGTGTTCTACTCGAATGTCCTTTTTGGTATGTAACTTGCTGTGGAATAACAAGATGGTCTAACCGGTCGTAACGCAAATCAATAGCTTGTGTTCTACTCGAATGTCCTTTTTGGTATGTAACTTGCTGTGGAATAACAAGATGGTCTAACCGGTCGTAACGCAAATCAATAGCTTGTGTTCTACTCGAATGTCCTTTTTGGTATGTAACTTGCTGTGGAATAACAAGATGGTCTAACCGGTCGTAACGCAAATCAATAGCTTGTGTTCTACTCGAATGTCCTTTTTGGTATGTAACTTGCTGTGGAATAACAAGATGGTCTAACCGGTCGTAACGCAAATCAATAGCTTGTGTTCTACTCGAATGTCCTTTTTGGTATGTAACTTGCTGTGGAATAACAAGATGGTCTAACCGGTCGTAACGCAAATCAATAGCTTGTGTTCTACTCGAANGCTTTGTATTATTTTTTATGATTAGTTTCCAAAAAGTTATTTAAAAAAATGCTGTTATTCAATAAATTTGTCAACACCTGACATTTCTTTAAAAAAATTGAAGTTTTTGAGGAATTTACGTGAGGTAAGTAATGAATTTATGTACCTTGATTACCTGATACCTGAAAATAGGCCGTATAAGCAAGCTAGCAGGTAGGCATGTGTTCTTAGTTCAAACAGTACTCAATCGTCCACATTTGCTTCGTCAGAAAATACGTGACTTTTGGTGGCCCTGGGATCTATCTTAATATATTATTTGTATTGAATATTGAAATTCATAACTATATTAATATTTAAATGTCAGAACAAGAAGATAAAGTTTCTTTTTCACATTGAATGTTTTCATCTCATACTTTTTGAATGGTCATGGTAATTTGTTATCAGCTATAATATCCCAAGGACATTGATAACCAACGAAATAATTTTATCACAGTTTTCGAAAGCACGTTATTTGGTAACATCCCGACGCCGAAGGCGGAGGGATGTTACCTAAAATAACGTGCTTGAGGAAGTTGTGATAAAATTATGAGTTATTTATCAATGTTCGAGGGATATTCGGTGAGAAAATTTTTTGCAATTCGAACAAAATTATTTATTGAACACACAGTTATTAAAAGAACAATTCGTATAATGATATTCCGTTGATNTATTTTCCAAGTGTATTTTTTACTATTGACAGTATTTTTTGGTGTATTTTCTTCAATGATTTTGTCAATTGCCGCATCATTTTGAACACCAAAGCGAGGAAGTGACATTTTCGAAATAAATTGAATTACTGAAATGTCAAACAACTTTATTGTGTTGGTTGCTTAGCAATGTCATGACATAAGTGATAACTACCCGTGAAAACTATCCATGGGTAGTTATCAGTGTAATGATGGTTTCATTGGTTATTTCGACACACATGACTAGAAATAGACAAATTTGATAGGATAATTTTTTTGGTAAAAAATTTTCAAGTGAATTGTTAGTGAATTGTCAACGAGATTGGTAGACTTCCAGTCACGATGTTTCTTTAAATTTGTGATGTTTTCCCTACTATCAGCAAATAACGTCGCTGAAGTTCGATGAATACTATGTCCTGTATAATTCTTAGAATTGGGTCAATTTAAAAATTCTGCAATTCTCAATTCAAGATTTCTAGAGGTAACATAACTGTTATCATAAAGAAGTACTCACCTGGCGTTGTAAATATTCCTCTAGATTTTATGAAGTATTGAAGATACGTGAAGGGATTGATTATTTCTCTCAGTAGATTCATACCTATACTTTCATTCAAACGAAACACTATTCCAGGAAAGGCAGTGTGATCATACAACTGAGCTCCTACTGGTAAATCCTGAATAACTGGAATATCTGCAATAACATGATCAAGAAAAAATTGGTAATGTTTGGTAGATAATGATCTGAAATTTTTCTCTTGAGTAATTGATGACTTCATTTATTTTTTGGACATTAATGCTCACTTTATTGAAATGAATGAAAACATGTCTGATTTCCACAAATTATTTTAATTTTACGACCGGTTTCGAGTTTTATCGCATTATTATCAAGTATGAAAGTTTTCATACTTGATAAAGGAAGAAAACCCGAAGTTGGTGGTAAAAATAAAATAACTAGTGGAAGTAATACAAAAGTGCTAGTGCTGGCTGCTAGTGTCTGCTCATGAATTTCTTTCCATAAGGATTTCACCTGATTAACAGTCGTCGGATCATACGCAACATGCGGAGTCTTTTGTAATAAGCAAGGAGGTTTCTCGCTGAATCCGGGGTTTTTCGAAACTTTTCTCGCTCGCCTCACTAGTGACTTTTTAGCAGCCACTAGCATTCGTATGGAATCGAGGCTGTGCTGTTCAGTGGTCAGCAGCATGCCTCAATTCAAAGTGTGATGGATACGTCGTAATTTTCCGGATATTCACCGCACTTTGAGCGTAAGAGGCCTGTTGACCGCTCTGTGATCCATCACACAATGGATACGATACGCGTGTTGTCTCGCCAACGTGATGTACACGGCGGTGTTTATTTGGCAGAAGTTAGCCTCTTTGGTGGGAACATTATGGACCTCTGCATCACAACAAGCCAGTTCTTGTGGCTTCAGGGACCTGATTTTGTGGAGGGCCGAAATTTCCATATTCGGTGACCTCAATATCCACAAAATCGAATGGATCAAATTTTTGAATATCAACGACGAACAAGGTCACGAAGCTGGGGCTTTTGCAATGAGCAGCGGATTTACTCAGATTATGAATGAGCCAACCAGGATTCCGGACCGTGGTGGAGAATATGCTAGTCTTCTGAATCTACACCTAACAACCAATCCACAGATTTACACAATCACCGTAAGGTCTCCATTGGAGTCTTCTGATCACAAACTCATGTTGACCACAAACTCATGTTGACCACAAACTCATGTTGGAGAAAAATCTAAGCCGCGCAAAGTTTGGCATTACAGATCTGCTGACTGGGAGGATCTTCCAGAACATTAACAAAATTTCCCCTGGCTAGATGTTTGTTTCAGCTATAATGATCCATCAACCTGTGCTTCTGATATCACGGAAGTTATTCTATCATCCATGGATGCAAATATTCCTTTTTCAATGAAGAACTTCTAACGTGAAACCTCGGTTCGACAAAAATCGTGAGCTGTGGCGCAAAAATCCTAGTACCTACCGAAAACCGAACTAGGTTTGTTAATGCTCCCAACAGCTGCAAACTCAGAATGAATATCAATAAGTTTTTGAAGTACAGCTCTGTTACTGTTAGGACTCTGAATTCGTTGAAGGGAAAATTTGATGGATACCTTCTTGATTTCCGAAGGCAGATTTTCATCTAGTTGAATAACTGTGATCTGGGATTACCAACTCACTTTTTCCTTTGATCTGTGTTGTTAAAAGCTGAACATGTTGTTAAAAGCTGAACATTTGTCTCATAAAATTTCACTTCATTATGATTTTTATCAATATGGACTTGGATATTGAAATAGTAACTTTCTTCAAACTAGGAAGGTTAGAGAAAATGCAGAATGTATCTACTTACCAAATTGTTCTAGATGCTGTTTAGGTCCTATTCCAGATAGCATGAGAATGTGTGGGGAATGTAGAGCACCAGCAGATAAAATAACTTCTTTGTTGGCTAAAGCGTAACGAACTTTTCCATTTTTGATATACTCAACACCGTAAGCAATTTTACTTTCTTCATCTACGAGTACTCTAGAAACTCGAGATCGTGTTTGAATTTTCAAGTTAGATCTCTTTCGTACTGGCCTTAGGAATGAACTTTCAGCAGTGCATTTTTTTCCTTCACGTGAAGTTGACTGAACAAAGGAAACCTAAAAAATGTGAGACTTTGTGAGAAAGTAATATGATAAACATTCCAACTTCCTAAGTAGGAAATTATTTTCCGCTCGGAATTCCGCTAGTGTGTCAATTTTATTCCATAAAAACAAAAAAATTATGTTGCTTATAGTCATGTGTAGCCTGAGCAGTTGACTATCTGTTTCGCTCATTTGTTTTCTAATGTCATGGATGTTGGCTCGTATGAGTGCAAAACTTGTTCTTCTCCTGATGTTTTTTGTGGCAGGGGTCTTGAGGTGATAATTTACTTTTACGCTATTAGGAATGATTTTCTGGTCAGCGCCGAAGAAACGTGAGTTGACAGAGAAGCTTGGACGTTTTTGTTTGAAGTTTCTTAAACGTTCTTGTGTGTTGGAAATCCTTCTTTCCGTAGAGATTTGAAATGTCTACTCCAAGATTCTCATGGACAAAGTATGATGAGCTGTTTTCTGGGTTTCAATCCATGTTCTGTGTTTTGATCCTCACAAGGAGTATTTCCACAACGTTTGCTGCCACTACCTATATGCTTAGATTAGAGCCTGTATCTATTTGTGTTTGTACTTTTGTAAGTGTTATTTCATTTATATTTGAACATATATCTATGTACTGCAACTGACTTTGTCAGCTTTGGGAGGCGAGAACGTTGAAGAACAATGATATCGAAAAATATGTACTGAATTGTCTATTTCATTATATTTCAATGGATTCTGGAGTTAATTCGTAGATTTCATAACTCACTGTACTTGGAAATTAGACGATATTGTTANCCTCCCCACACAATTATTCCATAGTTGATATGGGACTGTACTAGACTGAAATATAATGTTCGTAGCTGTGCTATGTCAAAAATCTTTTTGAAAAACTTAAACTTGTTCAATAGAAACCTTATTTTATTCGCAACATATTCTGCGTGCTTATTCCATCTTACATTTTCATCTATTATTATATGGGGTAAGAGAATATTTGCCTTTTTTGAGTATTTTCAAATTCAGGTTTTCCTACTTCAGTTCAATTATTTTGTTTAATTTGCGTTAGGGATTGGTTGAAAAAATATGATAAGTTTACAAAAAAGTTACTTCTACTCACCCCCATTTGATTTTTTCCATTATAGTCCACATATGGGTAACCGGCCTCTTGAGCTGCTTTTACATAAGCTTTTGCGGCTTCTGTTCGATATGGGATATCACTCACAGATAAATAGCCACCCTCATTGTGGAATTCTTCATCTTTTATTTCGAGGTGAGAGTCTTCAGATTTCAGAAAATAAGGTAGCATATCTTCGTAAGACCACCCTGGATTTCCAAATGCTGCCCATTTATCGTAATCAAGTGGGTTGCCTCTGACATAAAACATGTAATTCATGATTGAACTTCCACCAAGACCTAAGCCATGGGCCAATTGCACCCTGCCCTCGATGCAACCTGTGAGAATTATTGAGGAATTTACAATATTGTCTTATTTTACGTTGCATTTGACGTGTACTCCAATGTCACATTTCAAACATCTTGTTGTTGTTTTCTCATGTCAGTATCCACATCGGGTCTGTTTTGCCTGCGGAATCACAAGATGGTCTAACCGGTTGTAACGCAAATCAATACCTTGTGTTCTACTCGAATGTCCTTTTTGGTATGTAGCTTGCTTTTTATTTTGAATCATTAATATTGTGGCAATTCGTCTTCTGAAACTTAGCTGATCTAGGACTCCTTCATTTTTTTTATGTAATTGCCAAGCATTCTGAACGCACATGCCAATGCTGTGAGTAAGCAAAGGAATATACCATTTTTTTTCCTCTCAGAGATGTGCGATATAAGCTGATATTCTGGTCAGAGCGATCGACTTCTCCCATATTAGAGTTATACATGTTTATGACATATGTGGCTGCTCCACCTGAAAATAAACTATACATTATACATAACTGCGTATAAAAGCTGATTATACTTACTTGAATATTCTTCTTCTCCTTTTGCGAGTAGCGTTTGACCACATGCAGAGGTTCGACTCCTGAAAAATTCGAGCTGTTGTCATGCCACTTCACTGCGATTATATTCTGATTTGAAATTCTCTTATAGTCATAGCTTCCTCGATTTTTTTTCTTAAGAACTTTAGAGTTTATGAGGGTATTTCCTGCCAATCGGTTCTCTCTTGCGAAAAATTTTTCTTTCATCAGCTATTCAATTAGAAGAATGGACGTAAAGAAGTTGTCGAAAAAGAGATGAAATTTTCTGTCCGTCCATTTTTTGCGCAGGGCTTGTGCGTATTCCAATACCACTCCTGCGCCAACTCCGAACTCTACATATCGTTCAGTTATATTTGTTGCAGCACCTTGGTATGGTTCGAACCAATTCAAGTAACCAAAATGAAAATTTCATCTACTGTTTCAGCTAATTCGGCATCATCTTCCAACATAGCTAGAGCTTCGTTGAGTGAAAAACCTCTGAAATGAAATAACATTGATAGACATGTATTTTCCTAATGTACTATATTTATTACATCCCCAAAATGCCATCCCAAACAAAAACAGTTTTCTGAATAATGAATATATCTGGGATAATTATCATTTTTCTTCAAATAACCAGCAATTAGTAAAATATATTCTGATTTCTTATGATTGAAATGTACATACCTTGCAAAGTTGACACCGTACTCAGCCGTTTCTATTTATATCTGTATTCCAAAAAAATAAAATTATCACTTTTACACAACAAAACTGAATGTAGTCCGTCCAGCCACAATGTTACAAGTATACTGAAGCATTTACCAAACTGATAGCTCTCGTGCACGTAAAAACCGCTGCATGTCGAGACTTGTTAGGACCGTACTAAATATAGTACAATAGGCATATCTGGGCTAACAAAAGTTTTGGTTGGTTGAAATATTTTAAAATTTTTTTGTTCTTGTATGATAAATACTTGACTGGTATGATGAAAGTAACGGAAATTATATTATTGCTTTTATTCTTTACCTTTCAAGTTCCTTTGCCGTATATGGATAAAAAATTAAAAGCATCAGTTATCATATGAAATAAGAATGTAAAATCAATGTGAACAAATGTTGTAATATGAAGTTCTACTTTTTTGGGGAAAATCCGCGTTTTTTGAACACTGCTACCGCATTTTTAATTTCCTTATCTGGCAACACTGCTCACAAGATGAGTATTCAGTGATCTACAGAGTCAATTGAGTGCAGCTGTGATTTCAGTAACAACGTATGTGACAAAAATAAAAATATTTGCAGTGTTTGAAAAAATATAGTGGCTTCCCCATCAAATTGTGTGTTTTGTGAATATTCTGATGTAAATTTAATGCTTTTCACAGAATAAACATTCAAAGACGTTGTTTTGTCGAGTGATTTATTCGAAAGCGGTTATCACAAACAATGTTATAAATCATTTACAGGGTTGAACAAAAAATACTATTTACAAAAAAATAAATCAATCGAGAAATCTTCCTCAACAGAAAAATCACTAAATATTGCTGAAAATTATTCTAAAGAATCTTCAACGACAGTTGAGTTAGACATACGAACTATTGAGCTAGAAGCATCTACTTCTCAAGATTTCCACGTTATCTTTTGTAGTTCAGATGTTTGAGCCCTGGGCCCCTGATCCTTTCATCTAATTGGAAATTTTATCTGTTTGGGTTTCTGTTTGTGTTTTTCGGCAACAGAGACGGGTCTCTGTCGACTTCTTGTGGCTAGTAGCTCTGTTGGTAGAAGTCGCTGGGTAAAAATCCCAACGCGTTCAGCTACATTCGGTCAGAAACCGAGGTGTCTACACTGCCTCTTGGCATCGTTAGCCATCTAGGACCACGCCAACATGAAAACAAACGAACGAACTCGGGTCGCCCCGAAAGTTGGACATCTGATCTAAGAGAATTGTCCAAATTGATGGTAGGCAAGCAACTATACCACCATAGGTCTCTACAGAAAAACTTCTAAAATTAACAAAGCAAAGTAGCGAAAATTTAATTGATACAGCCGTTTAGGCTGTGGTTTCTTATTTATTACCGGCAAGCATAGACTGCAGTACCGGGAACTTCGTAAGAATCTCCTGCAGCTGCCCTAGGACCATTGGGAGACCCTCGGGAGAGCTGTAGGAGTTCTCTGTAGTGGCTGCGGCTTTCGCGTACGAGACTCCACTCCTAACTAAATTTTGTCTGGCAGTCCTCGGGTTTGGGGGCTGTCGTTCGTCATTTGGCCCGTCTGAGGCCTTTTTCTCATTCTCAGGGCGTTCTGGGCACCCGTGGAAGCTAGCTGGTGCTCGCCCTTGCAATTAAAGCAACTCACAGGCGAGTTTTTTGGTCTTTTACATTCGCTAGTTAAATGTCGTCCGGCGCACTTTACGCATGCTGGGACTGCTTTGCAGTTCCGTTGCGTGTGTCCGAACTTTTGACATCTGTAGCATTGTCCTGTTCTATTTCTAGGACGCTGTGGTTCTGCGCTAACTCGCACGTTCTGAATTTCTTTCACCTCGTAAATGCTAGCCTGGGTTCTAGGAACTAAGACTAACACGAACGGTATCGGCTTCTTGTTTGATTTGCTCATGCGAGCTATGGAAAGGATTTCGAATCCTTTTTCCTGTAGTTCTGTCTTGATATCTTCTATTTCCAGGGCTTCTGGGACTCCCCGGAAAACAACTCTTAGCGGCTTCTCAGTTTGTACCGAGTAGGTGTGGTACGGGATTTTTTCTTCGTCTAATATTTTAGTGATTTTTCTATATTCGTCTATGGACTTTAGATGGACTTTGATTCCATCAATGGTGTTTACCGCCCGCGAAATAGTGATATTTTGCGTGATATTTTGAAGTGTTTCCACTTTTCCTTCGCACGGATGGTTATCGGCGGCGGTCTTTCGGATTTTTGATTTTCTTCTCTGTGGCGAGATGCCGTAGCATTCTCGACCTTAGGGTCATCACCTAATTCCATTTGTTCGAATTCTTCGAATTCTTGGTCGGCTGTTGTCTGATTGTTAATCCCTTGGGCTACCTGTTTGGGGGCTTCCGGCGACTCAACCGGTCGTTGTGACGTGCCGGGTGTGACGTCAGAGGTCTTTTGTTCGGTCGGTCCCGGAACTTTTGGACTTCTTTTTTCTCGGCTGTTGAGATGGGATTTTCTCAGTTGCCGTGCTTTTTGTTGTCTCGCCAGAGGGCTCTGGCGTGGCTGCTCGCTTTTGTGGGATCTTATCAATTTGGATCTCTTCTTCATCCGAGGGGATGTCGTTGAAATCTGGGTTGTAGGTTTTGCTTCCGTAGCTAGGCAGAACCTCGAAAAGTGTGTAGTACTTTGGATTGCGTTTTTGGGTATTGATTTCCATGACTTTTTCAAAGTACTTATATGATTTAGCCAATTCCATAGTGCTAATATCATAACGGTCTAATGTTGCTGCTATTAATGCAAGTATTGCATCTCTTGAAAATTTCTTTCCGAAACTATGGTAGTAGTAGTAACAGTAGTTCCTCCATCTTTATCGCGTATCGACCTAATAACTCTTAGGGGATAGCGGTTTATGAACTATAAAACTGTCATTAATCTCACTTGTTGATGTTCACTCATCAACGTCTCAATCGCAATATGCCTCTCAAGATTTTAATTCAACAACCACTCTTATACCTGACCCTATAACAATACCTAGCCCACCTATTTTACTGTGGAAGCGGAAGGAAATGAGGATAATGCTGATGATGACAATGACGATTTAGATATTCAATATCAAGATTGGCTGGGTGATGAATTGTCTAATTTCAATGACGACGATAATGCAGATTAGAGGCACTACTAGGAAATGTTGAGAGATTAATATTTTTATGCTTTGTATTATATTTTATGATTAGTTTCCAAAAAGTAATTTTAAAAAAATGCTGNCAACCTTTATTAGGTAAACGACTGTTTAGTGAGATGATCCACATTTTCAAACAAAAAAGTGTTAACACTAGAAGGGATATAGAAGGACTGAATAGTGATTATTTTAATTTACTAAATCGTATTCCATAATATTTTAATACACATAAGTTTCCATCATCCTGTGTAATCTGATATCTTTCTATTGTTTATAATTTTTTTAAAGACAAACAAAAACGTCCATTCCTAATTAGTTTGTCTCCCTTGATATCGTTTTCATTTTCAATGTGTCTGTGGTGTATGTTTTCATTTGGTTAGTCCTCATTTTCGTTTGTACCTATGTTGTCTGACACATATGTTTTAAACGTTTTTTTGACATGGATAACTAATGTTTGGTAATTGCATCTGTTTTTTCCCTCTTAGATGATATGAGATTGTTTAAACTTTATAAATTTTGCAATATGTATTGGCATATACTGTTCACTTATAAAATTAATTTATTATAGAGCCCTGATGATGGATTTAATAAAGTCCGAAACGTTGGCATAAAACTAAATTGTTTATTTACATACATTTCTGATCCCTTT